GGGGCGAGCAGGGTTAATGACAGTTTTTTAGAGAGTAATTATTCTTAAAATGAATTCTGCATTCAGACACAGAAAAATGAGCTGACCTCCTTTAGTCATCTGAAAACATATGTTCCCTCTTTAAATAGTGACTGAAGGCACAACAAAACCCAAACTTTTATTCAAGATGAACTACATAAGACAACTCCATTTCTTTCTCGAGCTAACTTTGCATAGTATATATTGTGGTGAAATTTCAAGACTTAGATTCACCACACTTTTACTTTGCAATAGCTTTTCCCCAAGAAAAGAAATACAATCTACTCTAGTGAGGAACACTAGGCCTGCAGGCTGTTGCTGAAAAGCAGAATCGTAGCATCACCCAGGCTGCATATTAACCATGCACTGCATGCAGATACATCTGGCTACAGCAGCTGGCTACAAGCAGACTCAGTATCAATAGAGACCATGGGTCTGAAGCAGCATAGGTGCAGAAGCAATAATGCTACTCTCAGGCAGTGCAGAATTTCAACCAGGAACACTTGTAATTTGGACTGGCCAAATGCAAAGCCAGACAGACTTTCTAATTCATAACCTCAGACCACAGCTATGGGAGCGTTCAAACAGCTGAGCTGAGCCAATTTTTCCATGGGGTACCACTAACAAATTCTCCAGGACCTGTGCCATGTGGTGAGCAGGCACAGAAGTTTCTCTGCTCTCCATTCCCAGCAAGTGTCACCCTATCTGTATTATATGGGTTGTGCCATCCATACAGCTATGTCACTGGAAATTACCAGATCACTGGCCAGTGCCAAATTCACCATTTCTGAGAAATCCAGTATCTGCAAACCTGGGAACTCAGCAAGTCAAAGCTGCAGTCAATCACTGGGTCATTACTGTTCAAAACTAATTCTACTGACAACTCAGACAAAATTCTCACATAAAAACAATGATAGGCTTCCACATACAATGCCAATCAACAGAACATTTTTTTATAGTAATGAATTAATGGTTGCTCTGGAAAAAATACTTCTGCATCCTTAATATATGTAAACAATGTAATCTCTCAAATCTACTTTTGTATAAAAAAGAAATACCAAACAGTTAAGTATTTCTAAGCATGATTTGAATGAAGTATTGAACTCCTACAAATCAATGTCACAGATATTACATCATCTGAAAATACTAGTTTGCCAATAATTTACACGTCCTTATGTACTGAAAAAATACAAGCTGATTTCAAAAGAATTGCTGTATTCAATGCTGTATCTTGAAAAATACTTTTGATTTACATCTACAGTCAGGTAGAAAGTTATATTATTTTTAGTGAGAAGAAGGAATGTGCCCCCAAAGTTGGAACTGAGCTATGTATGTCATTTACATGCAGTTCAGATTATGTGGAAGGTAAACAGAACTGCATATGGTTTTCAAAATATGAAGGAAAGCACACCCATTACACACACAATATTTAAACACCTGTAACAAAACCAGAAGAGAAGTTAACGTGTCTACAACTTTGACCGCAATTTCCTTGGCCCAGGGACTGGCTTAACATAGGAATTATGCAGCGACTGAGGTATTCTTTGGTGGAGTTTCTAAACATTATTAGTTTATTACAGTAGTAGCTCAGCATGACACTAGAAAACTGCAAGTCTTCAAATGAAAGATCAAGCCTAGAAATAACGACCACTTGTCATAAAGACCACATGGCCCATTCTCTTAAGGAGTAAGGATATTACCACTATTGTCCTAGCCGCAGTCCAAGCTAGATAATTACATTCTGGCCAATTTTTCCTTGCACTTCAAGTATAAACAGTATTTTTCAACACCTAATTAAGATGCAGGGTTGGTTTCGTTTTATTTTTTTTTTAATAACATCTTTATTTCACGATTTCAGTTGAAAAGTGATATGTATTGTATCTATGTGTGGTTAATAAAAACACCCAAATCTATCTGTACCTTAGCTGAAATGAGCATTGCATAGGTTACAATGTAGTTTTAAAATATTTTTAGGAAAAAAATCTGTAAATTATAAGATTACTTTACAGTAATATGAAGAAACAGAAAAAATAATTTTAAAGAAAATGCTCAAGATTACAGGAAAAAAACCAAGGTGCTCTATTTGAGGTCTGTAGGGACCTAACAAAACAGGGAGTAACAGATGACTAATATAGGGTCTAAAATACACTACCTCATATAGAATTGTTGGTGGGTTTCTTTTTTTTTTTTTGTTTTGTTTTTTGGTTTTGTTTTGGTTTGGGTTTTTTTCTTTTTTTTTAATTAAATCTCAGTATGCTATCTTAATTGACATGAATTTACAGAATTGCACTCTAGACCTGCTACTACTGCATAAACTGATGCATGGTATGTCACTTTCTGTTAGTCAAGTAGGTTACTCTAGCTAATATATCCATTCTCTTAGAATGACCCAATCTCACATACCACTTCTTACCCCAACACCAGAACATCTCTGCCCATATGGGAAGCCATTAGTGAAACTTGCTAGTGCATCCCTGTCTTAGAATTAACAAGCCCCTCAAAGTGCTTTTGGTTCTTTCAGGGACAATAAATCTGAAGGATAATTAACCTGATCCAAAAATCACAAAATACAGATTTATAGGAAGTTTTCTCATCTCCTCCACAAGAATAACTTCAACTTCTGCATTCTTAGCACAGCTCCTTTTGGTATTTTGACTGCATGTGCCAGGTACAGCGAAGCAGACCACTAAAAAGCTGTAGCTGACCTGTGGATTCTCAAAGTAAAAAGCGTATCATTACATGTCTATGCTCAGCTATAGACCTATACAGAAGCTGCTCCCCAATATTTGAACTGCTTGATGCTTCAAAAAGAGAGGAACCACTTTTAATTAAATGTGCAGCATCTGCTTTCACGGTGATGCACGTGACAGTCCTATCCATGGCTGTACTTAACAGACAATAGCTTTTGCTCAAGCAAATTTCAATCAATACGTTTGGTGTACTCATTACCAACTGCCACTAAGGAGTCATGACATCAAGTGACCATGAAGCTTTAAAAAACCAGGTACCTGAAAGATTTCTTTATCTTGACACATGGATGTTTCTTGTTGAAGGGAAAACATTTGGCAATTTGTTACTTTGGGAGGAATCCATGGAGACTGCTGCCCAGGCAAAAGATAGGACTCCACTCCTCTGTGAAGCAATGTCTTGTCTGATCCCAGAGGTAGAATCTCTTCTAGGTGTTTCAGGCCGCTGTATGACCATGGAACTTTTGAGATGTAATTTGCTACAGCAAAAAATATGTTTGTTCTTCTGTTGTAACTGTTATTCTTATGGGGACTGTTGACTAAACATTTATGCCAAAAGCCTTCCAACAAATTTTCTGGAACGACATCATTGCCAAGCAAGCAAGCAAAGAGAGGGAGGTGTGTTAAACTAAGACCCAATGCACAACAAAGATCTTCTCGAGAGTACATAACAGTGACCATCCTGTCCAAATGGAGCTTCTCAATGGAAAAGTAGGGGCATGTATTATAGATGAGGTAGTCACTATCTTGCCCGAGAATTCCTATGCAGTTATGTTGCAAACCAAATGCAGCCACCTCAAAGTCTGCCTCTTGCAATGTGCATACTGTTTTTTGACCAAGTGACTTCAGGGCAAAACGCGTAAAAGTAGGCAAAGCTGAAGGTATCATGAACATTTCCTTCCCTGGTTGTTTCCTGTGAGTCTTGATAAACTGAAATATTCTGGCTATTTCCTTGTTATTCTGCAGCCTCCGTTTGATCCACTCATCTCTCTTTTTCGATTCTACCACTCCGTCAAAGAAAAACACCAATTTGATACCAGCTGCTGTAAAAGCTTTAATAAAATCTTCTAAAATGGCAAGGAACTCCCGCCACTGGCCACCACACACCCAGGATTCTGGTGTGTACCAGTATCTAACACAACTCATGGCATCTACTGCAATAACAGGTGGAGAATCAGGATGATCGATGCAATGTTTTTCTGCCACTTCTCTCAGATCTACTGTTCTGCATGCATCAGGGCAAACTCTCGCCACAAATCCCTGCAAACCTTTAATGCCCATGGCTGATCTCTGAAACTCACAGCAGTCTGAAAGAAGAATAATAAAAACAATATTCCAAATGTAATACTGAGAAACATAACAGAATTATACAATAAAAAACCCCAAACAAAGCGAAGAGCAAAACAAAACACAAAGCAAACAAACAAAAAACAATAACCAAACAGCATAGAAACTGAACTGGTATTTTCCTGCTTTTGGTGATAGTTTGCTTTGTTGTCCTGGCTTTTAAACAGTTCGAACCAGTCTTCTTCCCATCAACAAACTGGATGTAAGTGCCCATTCACTTTGCCTTCCACTTCTGTTTTTCTGTCAGTGAAAACTATAAATATCAAAATGTTTTCTTAAGTATGACTTTAAAAAAATCAGATTAATAGAATATAGAAATGTATGCACTGCTAGAAAAACCAGTTATACAGTATTACAGTTGAGCGTACAACACAAGAATTAACGACTTGATTTTCACACTAAGTAGTATACAAATGTCTTTAACTGAAGTCAGTAGGGAAAAAAACTAGTAACTTTGGAAATCAGCCTAGTGCCTTGATTGTGCAAACGGCTCTGTTACCATCTGAGTTTATAGACAGTAGTCCACCGATACAGCACTAGTTGCAATACCTCTACTTCTGCAGTGGTTTTGGTAGTATCAGTTCTGCTTTGAATCAGAAATTCAATCCACCGTACCATTCTGTCATTTCAAGACATAATTTTCAAGACCTGTTTAAAGAATTAGAGGTTTACCTATATTCTGTGAATCAACAAATCTGGCTATTATTAATAATGAGTTTAATGAATAAGTTAATATATTAAATGGGATTTCTAATACACACAGCATTTTGAACCAATGTATTTTAAGAGACACATGGAAACATTAGCTAGACATTAAACAATTACAAATGGAATAAGCTTATTTTCAGTTTGGGAAATATCAAAATACTGAAGAAGAGAGTCTGAATTCTGTGGTAGAACTTGATAGCATATCAAATGAATCAATTTATGCGTTATGTACAGAAAGTTGTGGGATAAAATGGAAATGTTGATGGCCTCCATTTTTATTTCTAGAAATCACAACACAAGTTTGGCACAACCTCCACCACAGATGTGCTCCTCCCTCTACTACAACATCAGTCTCCCCTACCACAGCACCATTTTATTTTAAAGGACCTTCCAGCGAAAAATAGAAGTAACAAGCTCCATCAAGCTTTTTTTCTTCTTTATTCTCAGAAAATATTTTGGGTTTATTTTGATTTTACTCAAAAGTCAAAACCTTTTCTCAGCTAAGCAGTGAAGAATTTCACTGTTTTAATTAAACAAGTAAGGTTTTTTCTAGTTTTCACATTATGAATTTCTGACATTTCAAGAACAGATTGTCTCTGGAATGTTACATTACAAGATACACACTTACTGCTTTCAGAAATGAAAAAAAAAAAAAAGGAAGCTGAATTCATAAAAGTATTATGAATTGATAGCTTTTAAAGGTATTCCTGAGTCTGCAGAGGTTAAACAACTAATAATCTCCAGATACACTTTCTGAATACCACCATCTTTAAGCACAGAATCATAGAATAGTTTGGGTTGAAAGGAACCTTTAAAAGGTCATCCAGTTCAACCCCCAACGCAATGACCAAGGACATCTTCAACCAGATCATGTTGCTCAGAGCCCTGGCCAGCCTCACCTTGAATGTTTCCAGGGATGGGACATCTACCAGCACTGTTCCAATGCCTCAGCACTCTCGTCATAAAAAAATGTCTTCTTTACACAACGTAATATGAAATAAATACAAAATAAAGCTGAGAGCATACAGCAGACCTCACTGTTGTAAAATCGGAAATAAATGCGTATGAATCTATTTCATAGCTCCACATGGATACAAAGTAGAGCCCTGCCTCTACGATGTTACTTTCAGCATTACCTAGGTGTCCTTAAGGTTCCAGACATTCGCTTTTCCAGGAAAGATGCACCTCTAATTCAAAATAGTTTTGAGCACTGGTAGGCTATTGGTTTGTATTGCTTTCCATAGAGACCTAGCAATGAGTGTGAAGGCCATCATCTTTCAGACATTAACACATGCTGTCAGACTAAATGATCTGAGGTCACAGATGCCGTGTCCGAGCAAACTTTAGGTATGATTCTGTCCTTAGTGGCAACACAACTCGAGCAGTAAGTGTGGTAGACAACTACCAGCTGTAAGCTACTATACAGTTACTCTTAGTTACTATACTGTCATAAGTGGAAACAAACACTTTTCCACCTCCTCACACCTGTATTTGAAGCACTCCTCTTGCCTAACAATTTAAACAAGTCTATGATACAGATTATGAGGGAAAAAAAAAATCCATTTTAGTTTAGCTTAATCAGGTTCACATCCAAACAATAAGCAAGTATCTTGGCCACTAGGAGCATTTTAATATTGCTATCAAACACATACCAAAAGCATAATAAAAAGAGGGGGGAGAAGGGGGCGGGGGGGGTGGTGGGGGAAGGAGTTTTCTCCACAAACCGAAATGACCAAAACCATTCTTTCTCACCCCTGGTTTTATTTGGAGAGATGACCCCTACAACAGCTCATGATACCACTAGATTTCACCTTGCCAGCAAGCAACCATCGTGACACAAAGTTTATTACACCCATGGTAACACACAGCACTGCGAAGGGCTGCTAGCAGTAACAGCTTCAGCCCTCACAAACGCCCACAGCACAAGGGACAAGAAGCAAAGCCCTCCACTTCTGACGCACAGCCAGGCCCGCAGTCCCGCTGCCCTGAACGGCCGGAGCCTGCGGTACCGGCCC